AATAATCTAATTTTATTTTGAGGAAAAAGAAAAATCAAATTTTTTTTAGTTCGAAGAGGAAAACTCGAGGAAAAGGTGAAACAGATGCAAATCCTCAACAACTTAATGTTGCTAAATGCCAGGCTAACCTATTGGATCAACTGTAATTGATGTTCTTTTCTCTCATGACAGTCAAAATATATATGAATAGATTCTTTTTGTTCATGCTAATAGTTACCTTTAAATTCCATTTATAAAATATCTGATATATTTGTAGCATTGTAATTTTTGATACTGTAAACTAAATTTTGAAATTTTTAGAAGATGTTATTTTTTTTTATTAGATTTTATAATATGATATAAACATATATTCATTGATGTATATTTTTTTTATTTAACGATTTTACAACATAATACAACATATATACGAATTATCGATTTAAATGTTTTAATATATCATAGTAATAATAGTATATTTTTTGTTGTAGAAAGTAAGAGAAGTATAAAATCAAAGTAAAACAAACGTTTTAACGAAAGTGACTTCAAAATCGGAATTATTATCCTGTTGTTCATTTTATTAGTATCAGAATAAAGTGAATAGCGATCAACGACGATACGGTTAAAAACGTGATATTGATGGGTGAATTGAGTAATGGTGGCGGAATGGTGATGATGAATGAGGATTATTCCGGTGAGAATGTTACTCATTCATTACTCATTCAACAACGGAATGGATCACCGATGCAATCATGCTCGTTCGTCTATTTATATATATATATATATTTTTTTTACTTATAATCAAAAATTAATTAATTTTTATAAACTATAGTTTTAGTTGAAATTTTTTTAGCTAATTTAAGTCTTTTATTTTTTTTTTTTAAACTATAATTAAAATAATAAGAAATATATTAGAAATTAAGAAAATAAATGTTCAAATTTTCTCTCATTTTTCTTTTGTATGAAATGATTATTGTATTTTAATAAATTTTATTTTAATTTAATAAGTTTTTTTCTCTCCTATTTTTTTATTACTATTCTGATTTATCGATTATCTGAAATAGACATTATTTCGAAAATTTAGTATATCTATGTTTTTCATGATTAATTACTAATTGTTTCAATTTTAAAACGATAACTCTTTCTAATCTGTTTAATCTCTCTGTAGTGATAGATTAATAAAATCGCGAAAAAGTATTTATTTTAAAATTGAGACAATTAATAAAAAGCACTATGATATAGGAGATGATAAGAAATATTGGAATTTCATTTCTTCTAATACACTACGAACAAGAAGAGTTTGAGAAAGAAATTTTATATTTTAAGAAAGAGAGAGAGAGAGAGGGAGAGAGAAAGAAAGAAATATATATATATATAAATACTCAATGATCGATAGTGAATTTAATGAGAAATTTATTACTACATAGTTGTAATTTTTTTGTAACAAATGAAAGAAGTTTTAAAAAAAAAGGAGGAAAAAAGGAAATGAATATGAAATAGAATATATTAAAAGATATTCCATATTCAATATAGTTGGATATATAGAATTACATGTAGGATTATCGGATAGCATAATAAGACGAATATCCGAATTGTTAAATTATTATTATTATTTAATTTATTAAAAAATTAGAAATGATATAATTTAAAAATTTGAAAAATAATTTTAAATAAATTTATTATCTAAGTGGAAAAAAAAAGTAAGATAATTATCTTTTAAGAATTTTGCTATTACAATGACGAAAATTAAATTATTTTAGTAGATTTATTTAAAACTTATTTCTAGGGGAAATGAGGAAGAACAAATGGGTGATGAAGAAATGATAAAGCGAAATTTTAAAGAGCGATCAGGACAAGATAAGAAAAGTAATCAAAGTCAAGATTTGTTAAAACAACAAGTCAGCGATTTAGCTATACAAATGACATATCTCTCTCATCAGGTAATATATTTATTTGACTATTTTAATTTTTCAATTAATTATAATGAATTGTAATTATTATATCAATTGAAATTTTAAGAGTTTTCGGAGATTGAATATGTCGTTTATTATATTAATTAACGTATTTCAGGTTACACTTTTGTTGAATGCTCTTCATGTGCCATCTTGCCAATGCGGTATTTGTAAGCCATATTATCAAACTCAGGTTGAAATGTTCAAATTATTAAAAGATGGTGCATCAATACAGTTATCATCTAATAAAATTATTGATGATAATAATAAATCAGCGAATGTGGCACAAAATGGTTTTATCGAAAAACGTTCAATGAAAACTGAGGTAATCATCTTTTCGAATTTTTATATATGTATTTTTCCAAACATACTAATTAACTGTTTAATTACTTACCTATTTGAGCGGAATGTTTTGTCGTTAAAATATTGATCCTCAATAATTAGATTCTTTTTATCGATATAATCCACTATCTAATCAATTAAACTTGTCTTGAAAATTCGATTTATTGATAAAATGAACAGGAAATTTTATGATTGCAATTGACAAGTGATTGAAGATAATTCCGTTTCTCATGAAATTTTTCATTACGATCATCACATCAGATATATGAATAATTATAGGTGCCGAAAACTTCGCCATCATCAATGGGAGCAGTAACAGCAGGAAATGTTCAAACAATCTCAAATGTGCCTTCAATGAATGATTGTGAGGCATTGCTATCACAAATTTTCACGCAAACTGGACTTCCGCTAAATGGTGCTCAGGTTGCGGCAGCTGCAGCTGCCGCTACGGCGGGTTTACCCGCAGCATTTGGCCTTGCTGCTGCTGTGGCTGGAACTTCATTTACAAAACCGCTGAGTGGGAATCCTTCAAATAAAGGTAAAATGTTTATCCGATTACATAAGCACTTCATATTGGAATATTTTCCTTTTTTTTTAATGCAAACAGGCTGATATTGAGTTAGCGTACCTTTCTGTTTTGGGTTTAAAGTGCAAGTCTGTTGGGTTAGAAAGGTAATGAGATAGTTATCTGCCAGAAACAGTGAAGCATAATAAGTTTTACGTAAGCGACCTACCGCATTACCGTTTATCTTACTTTTCATCAATTATTTAACGGTCGTTGGTAGTTTATGTGATTCAAATGTGATAGTTACAAGACTTTTATGTTTAGTTCATCAGAATCACCAGAACGCAAACAGCAGCGGACGACGGTCGAAGTACTGTTCACCGGAAGAGAAGAAAGCAGTTGCGGAATATGCGGAAGCTCATGGCCCTAGTGCAGCTGCTCGAAAATTTGGTATTCCAACTCCGGTTGCTGCCTATTATCATCGGAAAGAATATAAACTGAAGCCATCTCGTAAATATTTAAAAATTCATAGCAGTTTTTATTTAGTACTAACATAACGCATGATAAATTTCATATTAATACTAATTTTTTGTTATCATAATTTAAAATAGTATTAAAAAGAAACAGATGGATTCTGGAAAAAGTGTTTAAAATGCAATTTTTAATTAGTTATATTTGCAGCAATTGCACTTACACCTCAGATAATGCCTTCGGTAAATGCTGGTTCCCCAGGTACAACCTCAGGTGATGACCTCGATAGCACGAATGGTGACTGCCAAAATGGCCCAGTTCTAAGTGCCGTGAAATTTTCCAGTTCAAACGCTACTTCAAAGGTAAGCAAGCGTTCAATTTGAATTTTCAAAATTCGATCACTTTTTAATTAATTTGCTAATTATTTATGTTGCTTGTCTTGATTGCTTAATTCATTACTTTGATTTTCTTTTCATATTTCACTCTTGATATTTGTTGAATAGTACGCATACTTATTGCTTCCGTTCACACGAAGAATTAATTATTGTTCTGGAAGTTTTTTGAATATTTCTGTATTATACGATTCCATTCTTGCAGACCTCAGAACAGTACCCGAAACCAAATCCGGCACACAGCACCGGTAGTCCGGGTTTCTTACGAGGACGTGGCCGAGGGCGTCCGAAGTTAATTGGGGATGAACTTGACGCTGAATTGGTTGATTACATGGTTCAGGTAATCGTTATATCAATTCATCAGTTGATGATCAAGATTCTTATTGTATTACAAATTTTAAATGAACTTCTGAAATTATTCATTCAAATTCCTATGAGTGAAGCTTACAGATTAAGCAGTCTGATCCACGAGGACATCTGACTGCATCGCAAGCACTTGCAATTGCTCGGGCTTACATTATGGAGAAGGCTCCTGGTCTCCTGGAAGAGCACGGAGGTCATATTAAACTGAAACTAACTTGGGCTATGAAGTTAGTTGCTAGAATCAGTGAACGACAAAAGGAAATTGAATTTGGTTTACCGGCAGGAACTATCGCAAATATGACAAGTACATTTTGTTCGGGTTATAACTATGGTTCGTTATTATAATTTGAGACATTTGTCTAGAATTTTTCTTTTCAGATTTATTTCAATTATTATTGTTACATAAATTTGTTACATAAACATTTTAGGGACGATGTCAAATCCAAGTTTACCCGGTGGAAATTTTATGGCTGATGTGGTCGCCCAAAATCTTTTGAGTCAGCAAATGACCCAGATTATGACTCAGGCAGTATCAGGTAATTATTATATCTGTGAGCAATTGAAGCAGATCATGAATCAATCATCATTAGGTAATTATATCTTATATATATATTCAATTCCTTCATTTAAATTTGAAATTAGTAATATTTTTTCTTTACCTAACAACTATTCAGCTATCTTTTTTTCATTTTCCTTTAAGGTTCAGCACCTGCATCAGCTACACCACAAATCCTGAACATACGTGAATTAGAATTACCAAAACCTGATGATGGTGATCTGAAAGGTGAAATTGTTAATGCTGTTGAAAATGATACAAAAGAAGATATGGATGTTACAGAACAACATTTTGATACTGATATCGAAAATCAGGCCGGTAATGTTGGAAATCAAACAGGTCATAAGAAGACATCTGCTCAGCAACATTTCATTCCATCTAATACTTTTTGAAATAGGGCAGAATTTGTGTATATCTTTTTATACATTATAAGTAGCTAAGGTTATAGCTTAAAAAAAAATGCCTTGATTAGCTATATTTTGTTGTTGAAAATGGTAGGTCATCAAATTATGGAATGATATAGTAATAACTGGAATGATAATGATATAGTAATATAGTAATAATTTTAAATTATTATTAATTTACAATTTTGTCTTTCATTTCCAAAATTTTACAATACACTAATAATATCATCATCTTTTTTTCGAACAAAAATAATTTATGGTGAAATGGAAAAATTAAAAGATCAACAAAAAAAAGCGATATGATATGATATATCATATCATATAATCATATCATACATATCATATCATATAAATGTTATTCTAGATGATTCCCAATTAATTGACCTTCCGTCATTGATAACTCAATAAAATATATTTTTTGTTGTATAGTTTTGTGCACATTACATATGTGACATAATTTTCTTTATCATTAAATGATAAATATTTTTTTTTTTTTTAAAAATTAAAATTATATAAAATTCGTTTAAATTCCAATTTTCAAATTTCTCTTTTTTCTTATTTATGTATTTTAGTAAAATTTATTGATTGTTTAAATGTCTTTTTTTCGTTTCATTAAAATTTTCAA